TATTACGTTTGATCAATAATACAACCTAACAACGTTTCTCACGGCATGAAGATCAGTTATTACGAAACAAAATCGCGAAAACCACATCCTATGGACGTCCGAGGGTATGTTGGGCGGGGACTTGGGATGGCATGGAAACAAGTGGAACTCGATGGGGCCAGATATCAGGCGACGCATTGAAATAATTCATGTTAAAGCGTTCGATTTTGGAGAATAGAAGACGATAATGGAATAGGATGGAAAGAGAAATGTTAATGGCATAGATGGAAAAGGCCAAAAAGAGTTCTTAGTGAAGCACGAAGCCAAGTGGAAGCGTACGTGACAGATGTACGGCAGAGAAGTTGAATGCGTCATGCCCCTTACGATTTTCAATTGTTTACGATAACAAACACAGTTTTTTGTTCTTCATTGTTATCGTGGATGATAGGCCTCGGTCAGCGACTGACTCATGGGTGAGGTAGAATCATGATTTTTTAGAGGACGATCCTTTCAAGTCCAAATTATCGCTAAGGAATAGGAATGTCAGGCAAATCGATGAAAATCTTTTTTTATCAATTGGCCGGTAAAGCGTGGCTGCACCATTAATTTTTAAACCAATTGAACATCCTTCACATGATATTTCCCGTAAAAAGTAAGCGGCAGTGCTTCGCCGTAATCGAAAATGTACCTAAAACTTCACGATGCCTTGTGTGTGATACTAGCCGTAAGCCACTATGAGTAAGGCGCCATACTTGAACACTTTGCTAGCATATTTATGGCGCATCCTCATATGACCGGATGGTAAGACGTATTTTCAGGAAAAGGTGGAGCTAATTTACGAGAAATCAAAAGGAACCACGGTGTTCGTGTGGAGGTGGTGATGTTCCTCAAGCACCAATCTCACGGAATTCATGGTTGAAACATACGAGGATCACGGAGCTAGCGGATTTGCTCCCTTCGCGTTTCGAAAAGTGCGCATCGAAGCGCAAAGCTTACTCTTCCACAAGCACTCCCATATTCCTGAAACCCAACAAACACCCTTTACAGCCTTGTTTTTAATTGTACTGCATTCCATATAGTGAAGTCGGGTCGAAATGTTTTGTTGTGCTCAAAGAGACAATGAAGATGTATTAAGTCAGTCGTAAAAATGAGAAGACTATGCTCCTTAAAGCAACAGTTCAGGAACGGTTTCGCGGGAAAAAACCACCAATAATGAAGTTGTAGATGAAAACCAGACGATTAATGTATGAAAAACTGGAAAAAAACGTCGGGGAGGGTCTTAGACAGGTACTCTCCCTCTGCCGCTCAGCAATGGATAAAGACGCACGTTGGACGAGTTGTCTGAACGTGCCCGCTGTAAACGCGCTCCATTTTTCAATCAATTTTCCCTGTGGTCCCAAAACGAGCACGATTGCCGACGCGTCCAATGACGGCCGGCAAGGGGGCGGGATTGGGGAAATCCCCAAGAACACCCATGTTTGAGGGACTTTCCACCCTGTTTTTGAGTTTCTGAGGTAAGTTCGTTTATTATTTCCACTGCATATGTTCTTCACTAGGGCTCGTGTATCCCTCAGTAGTAGTGGCATTGAAATTTTCGGACCCTCCCTGAACTGTTGCTTTAAGCCGAAAGCAAAACTCCCAGCGGCGCTTGAGCGCAACGATGCGGAGTTGAGCTGATTATGTGCGATCCATTGAGGCGACTCATGCTTCAATTTAAGTGTGTACACTGGCGCGTGCGCACCGCCTTATATTCTCACGCAATGGCCTCCATTAATCTAAAAAAATCGCGGAAAATTCGCCTTGCGCCTCTAGTTTCTGAATCTGTATACCCCTTGATCCTCTGATTTCTATCTTTCTCATACATAGATTTCTCGACTACCAGGAATAGAGAGGACTCTTTTTCAGAAGCTTGACGGAATCCCTCTCTCTTGTTCGTCATTGACCATCCCTTTCGCACTTCAATTCATACTCTAGTCAAATTATCACCCTGCTTTGATCGTGGGATGTGTCTCCAATAAGTTGCACATACTTAAACATACGAATCTTACTTTGTTGAAGATTGGTCCGGAAACTGGCTCTCACACGCGGAAAATATCGATCACAGGCAGTGAAAAATCAATCACCCTTGCAGAGGTGAGATTTCTTTTTATTTATGTTACTTTGTTGAAGATTGGGCCTGAAACTTATTTATTCGTGCGTGCAGTAAACGCACCGAGCAAGTTGTATAGACATTACCCGAAGATAATATGGTTATTCAAGAGGACGGTAGCCGAATCAGAAAATCGGTAAAAGATAAAAAAACAAGTACGATCTTCCTCTTCCCTTTCCTGCATTCATGGATAGTACCAGCAAACCAAAAGCCTTCAGGTACAAAGATTCGTAGGAAAGCCCGGAAAGTCGAAGCCTAGTTGATAACGATGGTAAATGTCAGTCAGGTCCAATCAGGTAAAGACACAGCGATTTCCGGCCGATTGATAGCAGCACTAGCCTGCAACTTCGCTTTTGTCACATACTTCGTTATTTCGCCATAAAAAATGATGTTAGCATGTGAAACATGATGCTGCAATGGAACTGAAAATTAACATCCTTGCTTGTATAGTCAATAGGCACGATCCACAATGATATGGGAAAGTACCTGACAGACCTGTGCGATAGTGTCTGTTTTCTCCCTTTCATCCAAGGTGAACCAAAGTTCATTCCATCGTCGAGGAGTTATTGACAATGAAGGCGGGGTGGGGGTCATATTTCTCCTGAAGAGACGGGAGGCCGTGTTGGATGTCAAAATTTCTTGATGACTCTTCTGGACTGCCTTTGCGCCGTCAACACTTTACAACTGTCTGCTATAACTCACTGAAGCCTTGGCTCTGACTGAAGTGAAGATCCCATTGAATTCTTGCTCCATGCCTACTCTACGGACACATAAGGTCTTACTGTTTCAGGATGGGGTTTTACAAAATATCAAAATTCAATCGCTGAAGGATCATCTTCATGTAGGGGTCATTGTCCTAATACAGACATCACGACACCTTCACCAAACTCAAACCTAATTTTGAGGAGCTCACCGATTGAGGTGGTTGACGCTGTGATCAAGCACAACGTCGTTCCCGTAATCGAGTCACTTAATAATTGCTATTTGTATGTGTAGAAAAGTCTTTGAAACCTTGTTTCGTCCTCGTGCCTAGTTGCAGAGGGATAAAATGAATGTCGTGTTCAGATTCACGACCATCCGTGAGCCCTGTCGATCATTGAGAACAATTTTGGCTATCTTGGGATAGCAATATAGGTGAAACTCCAGTTCGGGGGGCCTTGCCTCCATTGCTATCTTATCCGTAGTACTAGAGAGCAGTTCTTTGGGCTATCGAACACTACGGATAAGATAATAAGTGAACGACTCATTTCGAGCGTACTTTTGATAAGGACCGGTGGATGTCCTACATTCCACACTACCTGCCCACATCCCATCCACTTTTCTGCACAGGTGATCCACCCTGGAGCTCCTCCACCCTTAGCCTAGGCAGAGGTGTCCATTCTCCTGGTCCAGGACCGTTCCCTTGGACCATGGCAGGCGGAAATGTGAAAGCATCTCAGGGTTTCTTTTACACCGATACTTATCAGAAGTACTTTTTGAGTCGATTACGTCCAATTAGTGCTCGCATCCTTATCTTGAGTTTGGAGAAACGATAAACTGCCCCCTCCCTTCCAAACTGGAGTTTCACGCAATTTTAATGTATGTAGAACTTCCAAAACGGCTTTCTCTGTTAGGCACGGATCAATCAACTCATGAGTCATCATTACTCGGATAGTAACGCCGATGCTGCTGAAGAATATGAAAAGGTGAGTTTCCAGGTTCTTCAAAAACCAGCTCCTGCTTGAGTCTTTGAAAATCAGCTCCTTTCTTATAGATGGTACCACTTTCAAAGGCCAAAATGCACGTTAGGAACCGCTACGAATTATAACATGAACGTATTACGCCACCTCGCAGGTGTCTGTGCTCACTTCCTGCTCTTAGGATGTCTTCTGTCCTAATCTCTCGTTCTTCGCATTGGGTGCTAGTGTATCGTCATCGCGGGCCTGCTGTCCTTGTGGTCTCTTTTACAAAGGAAGGGGCTTATTTTGTGTTCTCGATAATTTTTTTCCTCTCTTCTTCGGTGATGATTCAACTTGCATATCATTTACTGTATCCAATAAGCACACCGGCTTGATCGTGGATTGTGCCTTTAAGTTTGCGCGGCTGTGGATGGTGTCATTGAAATATTCGCCAGGATCACCAATCCTTTTCGCTTATGGTTTCTCTGTAGCTAATGCTCAAATAAGCATAAAAGGATAAAGCATTTGCCGTTGATCAATCCCTTCTTCTGGGATGCGGCACGCATTCTACTTCCATTTGTACATTCGTAGTGGCGTTTGAATGCGATGTTGCCTATACAATGACTTGCGGGGGCCAGGCCGATGTCAACATATTTTTATGGGCCTCTCGGACATTCTGTACATTAACTGACCGGGAGTGATGGAAGGCTCGGTTAGCCCGGGCTAAGCACGACCCAGGATTCGATCGCCGGACCTTGCGCGTCAAATTAAAAACCCTACAATGAGTTAGCATTCTTATAGAGTAGCATTGGTGTTTTTCAGCAACTCTTGGAGATTCAACGTATTCAAGAACAACTTGAAGATGCTGAAGAGGAATGGTAGTGTCTTGCGACAACTTGTTCACCAAGCAACCTAAGCTCTGTTGTCGTTCCTTCAGTGTATTCCTTCTATTGTTTTTGTTTTTTCGTTGTTGTATTTATTTTTGTTCAGTTGATGTTCATTAATAATTGAATGTTGTATAGCTCTCAATAGGTCACCAGTGTCCACCAAGCATTAAGTGTTTTTAAATAGTAAAAATATCGAGACAATGAAAAACTGAAATTTTTCTTTATTATGTTTTTAAAAGTAATTTGTAGCATTTCTTTGAGTATTTTTTGAAAATATTTACAATTTGCGAAATACATGGTGAAAATCGTCGCTATTTCTTGTGATTATCAGTGCAATCGACGAGAGCAGCTTCCTTCATGATCCTTTCGACTCGTGAATTCAGTGAAATCAATGAAGCCGTCTCCGTTAAGGTCCATATCTCGCATTAGACAGTCTACCTTCTCCTTCAGAGAGTCTTCATTCTCCACTGGTTTTCCAGGACCTGAAAGCGGTCCTTTGTCTTCCAAACATAGTGGAACCTTCGGGTAAAGGCAGTGGGTACAGTAAAGAGCGTTCGACCTAGTAAGTACCGTGCTACTTAGTGGTTGGGGGGGAGGCAGTGAGCGGCTCAGCGCTCTGTTCGTTTGCTCCTCTAGGCTTGGTCGTGGCAGGTCCATTTCGTAGCCACGCTTGCAGTCTCAAAATACGCCATCGGCGACTAAGCTTGGAGACAGTACGAACAGAGCGCGCGGGCCGCATGTCCCCCAAACCCCACTTTAGCACGTAAGCACTGCCCTTGTGTAGTGGGTAGCCAAGGTAGCAAGGAGGCTAGCTCAGTGAATGGTGGAGTAGTCGCGAGCAGTGTACACCTTGACGACAGCGCGGCAACTAGGTTTGCCGCGTTTTGCACGCCGCAATGGACATTGTGGCAACTATAGTTGCCACACCCTTTACATTCAGTTTTTTCTTGAACGCGCCATTTCTTCCCAGGTTTTTTGTGTTCATTTTTTAGGCCATACCACAACATAACCAAGAACCACGCGGCTTATAGAATGACCAAATATTCTTTAGTTTGGCAGAGGTTTTTCGGACCGGACGAAAATATCCGTTCAGTTCATTCCTCATTTTCTCTTCATTAACACGAACATGTAGATAAAAAAGAATATTAGAAGTGAGTACAAAGCTACTCGTGTGGCAAGATATGTGTTTTTACCGAAACAACCACGTCCAAAATAATTTTGAAATCACTAAAGCAAAAGTAAGTGAAACTTGCCTTTTCAATGCTGTAACACATCATTCGACCGCACTTTCACATGTGTACCTTCCAATAAGTTTGACACACCGAATATCAGTGAAAACATTTTGTCGCATCGAAGTATTGCGTATTTAAAGCTCAAAATCCACAGATTTGTTGTGAGGCGGCGGCGCTCGCAGAACCGCTCTGGTCCCACGCGGCCAAAAATGCCAAAACGCGCGATGTCGTCAACGTGTTAAATTTAAACCTGAAACGCCATTCTCATCCGCCTTAATAGTTTCGATACCGCAATCTCGTTTGATTTTCATTCCGAAAGTGCGTTTCGTATCGAATAGCCGTATCTTGTGATCTTGCTGTGCCTTACTTTCTACCAAAAACCCCTGGTTTTATGCTGGTTAGAGGATGATTTCTCTATAATTTGGACAGAACCAACTAGAACAGTCTTCCCTACCTGTATGACTATGAGTGATAATCTTGAACAATTCGTTGCTATCAATCATGTTGTCCTTGTTCAGGTCATTCATCGAAAAATAGTGGTATCTAAAATGTGATTCTTTTTGTCGTGTAACCATTTTTGGTCTCACCAGGGGAGGCTTTCGACTTTCCAGAACTTTGAATGGAGACCTAGGTAAATCGATGCAGTCAAAAATGATGGTTACAAATATGGAGACGAAAACTCTACATGAACTTTCCAAACAGTTTGCTAGGGTCAATATTCATGAGGAACGCAGCGAAAAAGTAAGCTCTGGCGCTAAACTGGCACCAGGTGGCTTCGGCGACAAAAAAGAATGTCAAATAATAATAAAAATCAAGACACCTGCTTACCCATACAGGCAATATTTCATCGGGGCAACATCCAAGCAGCTTCAAAAAAAAGAGGTGGCGCTCTTGTCGTTGCGTGGAGGGGTGAGGTAGGCAGTGAGCCACTTATGGTTGGGGCCAAGTAGGTGATATTACGACTAATCCCAAGAGAGGGAAGAAAAGCCTGGAGGAACAGAGTGCTGAAACCCTAGTTGGCTCGCTCCCTCTCCCTCCTTACCAGGGTCAACCGTTACGTTGGACCGACATTGGACCGACGTTGGACCGATGTTGACCGCTCTCCGCGCCGGCATTCACACTCGCCTTGCCGCGAGCCGTCTGTGTCTCCGTGCGTACGTTCACTCTCGGCATTACTCTCACACGCTAGAGAGCCATGCGTTGGACTTTGTCCAACGGACTCCTGACCCCAACCCGCAACGACATGAGCGCCGATTCTTCTTCGATTTATCCAGTAATTTGCAAATGTGAATATCTGGCATACCTTAGATGTTCTTCCGA